CAGTTCACCTTGGGTATGAGTACAATCTCTCTCAAGTCTGCTTTGGACAATGGGGTTAAAGTTCTCTCTCATGGCTTCAGAAAAGCTTGTAGAACCCTTATTTAAACAACAGCTCCACACAGGTGTGGGTTTTTTTAGTTTCTGATGGCATTGTATCTATTACAAACTACCCTTGCTTGGGAAGAAGCTGTTCTGCAAATGGCAAACCACCCAGAGTTTGAGCAGGTACAGTCCTGGTGTTGCCTCTTCCCTTGGTGTCCAAGCTCACGTTGTTTCTCAGTGTATAAACTGGAGCGTGTTACGTGAGAAACATGGGAAATCCTTAAACTATACCCTAGTTTTCATGTGTGCACCTTTTTATCCCGGCAATAATGGAAATGTCTTCACAAATAAGGAGCTTTGGTATGTTACATCACCCTTAGACATCTGAGTTAACTGCAGATCTTTTCTCTTGTAGGGACACTGGCAGCTTGCTTCCAGGTGTTAGCCCAGGGCACAGCTGCAGGAACTGGTACTTAGGCCAGAGAAAAATTACATCCCACAATAACCACATGTGTACAAATCATGGTGTTTAGCATCATTATAACTGCTTACACATCTTGTTCCAATGTTCAAAAAGAGAAACTTGGACACAGAGTTAATTGGAAACAATTTCACATGTGCACCAGTCTGGAAGATTTAAGGTTTTAGTGCAGAAATTGAGCTTTCTGATAATGTTGGTTTTGAGTGTCCTTACTTAGGAATAACCACTGTGCTTTTTCCCAAATTTTCATTCATTTGTGAAATAGGGGGGAAAAAACCCTTAATTTTAGGAGCTTTCACATGTTGGAAGTTCAGGGTTTAGACCTTTTTGCCAGAGGCATGAGCTTCAGAGATGAGATGCAACTGTACAACAACACGTAACGATACTTAGCAAATGATAGGAGCAGGAGAGTGTGAGCAGAAAGTACAACTTAACAAACTGGAGTTTGCTAAGACATAGAGGTAAATTCACCTCCTGCCTATAAAGTGCTACAGGGGTTTCTTGTCTGGAAGCTATTTAGACCTCCGTGTCACTGACGGTGGCAGAAGGGTGCCAGTGGGATGGAGGCTGTGGCAGCACTCCAGGAACAACCCAGTGAGCCATCAACAAGCTTTCGGGTGTCCAACTTCTGCTTTTTTGAGTCTCATCCTAATAATCAGTTGAGCACAAGTCAGCTGAGGTTGCGATCTGAAGATGTTTATTTCTGCTGTGAAGAAAAACCTCTGAGGAGATATATGTCTATCCCAGCTAACCCTAGAAGGGGAAACAGCCTATCTGACATCCCACCTTTCAGTTCTTTTAGGGCCACGAGTGCTCTGCCACAGCATCCCTCCACCTACTTTTTCTACTGGGAATCTTGCCCAGTTTTGCAGAAGATTGTACTCCCCTGCAGTGGGTGTATTTGTCGATTCATTCATCTGAGCTGCTTTTCAGCAACTCCCCAGATATGGGTGGCATAGGAAATAAGGTACAAATCTTTAGAGCTGGCTGAAAGTAAAGAAAATTTTTTCCATGAAAGAAGAGGACACAGAGTACTTTTGTTGCTGCAGAAAGGTTTGTAGCACTTACAACGACACCTTCTGCAGTATTTCTGTACTGATAAGAGGTGGCAGGAATATGCCAAAATTGCCCATAAAATAAACCAAAAAATCTCAGACTCTTGTTCAGTACCTGGTTTCCAATTCATGCCCCCTGTGTGGCAAGAAATAAATGTATATACATCGATTGCATCCAAAAGAGCCTAACAGTGGTAGTCTGAATTATACCTTGAATGAATATTGGTGGGATGAGACGCTGATCCATTTGCACAGTAATGTGCTATATTTAAGTCATGCACCGTGGCATCTTCAAGGAGGCCAGTCATAATTATGATGGATTAGACTGCAGACTCAGTCCTAGATGCAGTAATTGTTTCACGGATGCTGCTGATGTGACTTGAATTTCTAATGAATTATAGCTGAAGAAAAGTATGCGGAGCTTCTAAATGGTCTGGATAAAATACAGTTATGGGAAAGAGAAAAAAAGACTAACTGCTACACTTAGGGAAAAGTAGATTTATTTTGAGAGGCAGAGAGTTCACCCCACAACAATTGTAAGGAAGACCACAAAGGCTTTTTAAGGTACAACCAGGTCTACTTAGTAGTAAAAGCAAAATATCTTCACGGCGTCCCAGTTAGAATCACTAATAAAGGTATCATTGCCATTTATCTTTTGCCTGTTCTATGTTACAAATTATTGCTGCGATTTGTAGCTGCTTAAGCAAGATTTGTACTCAGGTGTGACTTGAGGGTAGTGAATAACTTGAGTGTAGACTGAAAGATAAAGTATAATGCAAAGTCACCCCAATCCTAGATGCATTTCAAAGAATGCAAATCTGGTACTTTCAACGGATTAATTAACTTTGTATTTTAAGGAACCAAATGATTCCCATGTCCTTTGCAATGTCTAACACCAGTGCCTTTTACACTGGAGGTGATCAGAATTTGGGGGAACAGGCTGACTCGCACCATTAGGCCTTTGAGAATACTATGAATAAAAATCCATGTCACACAGTGAAGATAACCATGTGGTTTTTGAGGACAGCATGAACCTAAGACTCTTCTCTGGAGCAGAGATGTGCTCCTTTGTGAGGGGTTTGCAAGCTAAATTTAGAGAAGTTGTGCAGTCTCCACTTCTAAACAAAAAGGGGTTTTTACCCACCACTAAGGAGTTGAGAAGGAAGTTTGCCTGGGAACTCTCAGAAGGAATTTAGTTGCAACCCACAGGGTACACCAGAACACAAGCAGCAAGGCAGACTTTGAGGGCCAGAGAAAGTTTCTCACGGCTCAGTCACACAGACTAAAACTTTCTTTAAAGAAATAAATCTTCTAGAAGCAGCTTGACAGCAGAGTGTTAATTACTATGGTGCCCTTTATTTCATTTCATGCTTGCAAAATGCAGCAGCCTACACACTCATGTCTGAGTTGTGGTTCACCTGCAATTTTTAGGTATGAAGTCAAAGGATGGTTTCCAAATTAGGCTGACATTTTATTTTTGAGACACTTTGGGACCATCATTCTTCTGCCTGGCCTAGAATGACACATCAGAGGAATCCTTTCCATGCTGCGTTCTGCTAAGTGCAGATCATCTCCCTGGGAAAGCTGCAAAGTCTCATGTCTTGTGGTACTATAAAGCTAGTTTGGGAAGGATACTGAAATATAGCTAGAAGGGAAGAAGCCTATCTATCTTACCTTGTCAAAAAAACAGGTAAGATGGGCATTTTTTTCTCTCCCTGTTCTTAGCTTTCCCTGCAAAAACTCTTTATAAGTACTGTTACTTGCAGAGAGAACTTCTCTACTTCTGTCATACAAAACTCAAATCAAGTAAAGAAAGAAAACAAAAAAACTTAAAGAGGTCAAAAGTAAATCTAAAACCAAGTTTGGGATACGGAGGAGATTAATGCAAGTCATCATGTAGGTACTTGCCTGTCAAAATATGTGGTTGAATTGTCCTGCTCCTGAAATCAGAGCTGCAAGCAGAGAGCATTCTGCTGGGTGTAATGAATTTCATGAATTAATATTACTTTCTAAAGCATTTTAGAATCATATTACTCAAGTGAGTAAGGCAATACTGCGCTGAAAACTATAAATTAGATAACATTTAACATTGCATTTTAATAACATAAAAATATTAGTGTAGGATAAATACATAAGCAGAGCAGAAGAATTTTGTCAAGTTAGTAGTTCTTCCCATGTAGTGGCAATACCAGCCACATGTAGTGCTTCAGTCCAACCATGGGTGACTTGGTAATGGGGAATCCTTCAGATTCCCCTTTATGCAAACTAAAAATAAAAGTTTCAGAACAAAGACATGCGCATGTCCAGATTTTCTCTGTGCAACTTCACATCTGTAAGGCTCACTGTCAGTCTATCTTCTGTCATTTCTGGCTGGTTGAGAACCATAAAGCCAACAAAGAATAAATTACAGGCAGAGTCAAACAAGGGCTTTGGCTATGTTAACTGTGACTGTGAATCCTGGGAAGATCCATGTGAACAGGATCAGCTTGTCATTATATGGAATTTGTTCACTGCACATTGTCAGTACTTTTATCCAACTAAAAACTTCATTTTGTAAATAAAATATGAAGAGTATATGAGAAAATGGGATTTCCCATCCAAACAAAGAAGAAACAAAAACCTTAGCTCCACAGCTGCAGAGTTCAGTTCAAAACCCAAATGCATAGTTTTAGCCATGCTTGATGTCTGTATGTAAATTTGAAAGGATATTAATACCTGAAAAAATGCCACTTCTGTCAAATCTTCCAGAAATCAGTCTGTTTGTTTCTGTCAACATCACCAAGGTGTTGATGAACTGTAAGAGTTCCTATGGATAGCAGTCAAGCATGACTTTGTCTCACATGTGGACTGTGCCACTTGCATGGTCTTTAGGAATGCCAGTTGTAAAAGACCCTGTCAGACAGCTGAAGACAGAAAAAAAAGGAGGTTTTTCCTCTCTAATTTGCAAGCTTGGTGGCAATAATCCTTCAAGTCAGACAAAAGAGGTTTGGCACACTTAATCAAATACCGGGATTAGCACCAAGTCTGGGAACCATGGTTGCAGCATGACTTTCTGCCTTACCAAGGGCAAAACGTGATGACAGAATGCAAATCATCCAACAGCAGAGAATATATTTTTGCACCATTAGGAGACATTTTTCCTGGTAAAATATCTGCTTGTGTGTTAAGTGGGGTAAGGAAGCCACTCTGTATTTTCACTCTTTTTTCATCTTGAAGAGCAAAGCTTTAAGAAAAAGGGGGACACAGGGCTGCAAACTGCAGTAGTGTAGAGGAACACCCCTCAGGTGTGTGTGCAGGCTCATGGTGTGTGTGGGAGCTGTCAGGGCAACTGGTGCTTGAATGCTGCAGAAATTGTTGGTTACTGGCTGTTCATCCATGGAAACTAATATTGACTTAGATTCTCTCCTGTTTGTTTTATCTTGCAGACACGTTCAGAGGGTAGCCTTGTGGATGGCCCCGGAGCAGGCCAGATGGAACAGGACAGAACCAACCATGTTGACGGCAATAGATTGAGTCCATTTCTAATACCTCAGTCTTCTCACGTTTGCCAGGCAGAGCCTTCTGCAGTGAAGCTACAGAATGGAAGTCCAGCAACAGAGAGGCCTGAAGTTGAAGTAAATGGAGACCACAAGCTGCTATTCATTAAAAGCAACTGTGAAGTGCCCCACCCAAAGGGAAGTCCAAACAACCGTGTCAGCCCTGACCTTTTACAAGAAAAGAAAGTATATTCCAAATATATGCAAAATGGTGGGATAAAACGCACTTTTAGTGAGCCCTCTCTGTATGGACTTCATGACAGCAAGAAAGTGAAACAAGACAAAGAACTAAATGGAGAAAAAGCTGAGCCAGAGGATAACAGTGAAAAAACAAGTGTCTCCAATTGTTACAGTGAGAAGAAACCTGAGAGTTTTACAACACAAGAAAATGAAGCTTCAGATTTGATGCCGTCTACAAAATACAACAGTGGTGGTTCTGAAAACCCTCATGACCTTCTGATTCAGGATGAGCAGGAGCAGGAAAATACTCATTGCCACAACAGGGACATTGTCTTATTACTTAAGAACAAGGCGGTGCCAATGCCTAATGGTGCTACAGTTTCTGCCTCTTCCATGGAAAGCATGCATGGCGAACTCCTGGAGAAAACACTGTCTCAATATTATCCAGAACATGTTTCCATAGCAATGCAGAAGAACACATCTCATATCAATGCCATTACCAGTCAGGCTACTAATGAGTTGTCCTATGAGACAACACATACATCCCATACCTCAGGGCAGATCACTTCCCCACAGACCTCAAACTCTGAGCTGCCTCAAGTGCCAGCTGTAGTGGTTACTGAGGTCTACAACAAAGAAGACTCCAGTAAACCACCTGCATTGCCAGGTAGCTGTTCGCTTCAGAAACCAGAACTACAGCTACAGCAACAGACTCCAGGCTATGATCCACACCAGTTACACATAGGAAACAGTAATGTCCATGGAAGCATAGGGCAGATTCCCAACCAAGACCTCTCTCTAAGTTCCAGCAGTAACCTGCAAGCTCAGAGCACCACTCTGGAAAGGTACTCTGAGCAAGCAGAAAATAATGGTGCTTTCTTTAAACAGAACTCAACGTTTCACAAGGATTCCTCTACTCCTCCTGCTCCAGAAATGAACAGTGCACTGTCCTCCATGGTGCTAGAAGTACATCATTCCTATGACAACAGATGTGATGAAACTTTTCCTGGGGATTTAAAAAATGAAGGGCAACAAGAGGGACCAATGTCAGAAAGTCCCAGCCTCAGCCAACAACCTCACCCTCAGCAGAGACTTCTGCAACAGGCACAGGCATCACAAGAAGGTGTCAGTGAGAGTAACCCACGAGCTGCTGTGGCCGCCCCAGTTCAGCACTGCCCAGAAGAAACGACGCTGGCGTCAGAACCTCCTCTCCAAAACCTGCACGCGCCCAGACGCGAGGGTGAGCTGCAACAACGCTATCAGCACTTCTCGGGACAGAGAGAACCTGAGATTCCTCCCGACAAAGAAAAGGACCAAGTGAAAGAGCCTGTCCAACAGGCTCATCATTATTCAAAACCAGCCTGGATAGAACTGGTTTCAACCCAGTTCCGCCAGGGAGAGCCTCCCCAAAAGCCCAGCAAAGCATTATTGCGATCAATTCTTCAGTACCAGGCAAACACAGCCCAAGCAGTCTATACAAAACAGTATGCTGGAAGTCCTGATGCATTAAAGGGGCCTTCAGGCCAGCCCCAGAGCCAGAAGACAATGCAACAGGAACAACTTACCCCGCTGTACAAAAGCGAGAGCTCCCAGCTGCAGCCGCATCTCATGGCCGACCAGCAGCTGCCGTTCCAGAAACACTCACCGCAGCCACAGCTCACAAAGGTGGATTCCCTACTCAAGTCCCAGGTGCAGCAACACCCTCCACAGCAGCTCCATTTCCAGCAAAGACCAGAACAACAGGCCGAACAGCCTTTAGGGGCCCCCTTGAAACAGCAACACTTGAATCCCCAGCCAGGGGAAAACGGGCAATTCTTGCATTCACACATTTTGCAACAGATGCTTCAAAAACAGGCACAGCCGGTGCACCTGCCGTGTGGTCCACAGCTAACCCCAAACCAGCAGCAGGCTCTGCAAATGAAAAAAAAAGACCTGCCCCAAGCCGTGTCCCACTCCCAAAGCAATGCCGAGCAGCCTCTAGACAGGACATCCTTCAATCAGCTTAAAGCAGATGAATGTTTCCAAACTGGGAATAAGTACATTAAATCAACTGCATTCCCAGTGCCTAACCCTCAGCAGGTGCAGACCATGAACAGCAAAGCTCCTCTTTACACTCAGAAGGCAAACGCTGGTCTCCAGCACCCGTGCCCAAACAATATGCACTTAATTCCTGAGAAGAAAGGAAATGCCGCAAATGTGGAACGCTTTGGGGCCAACAAAATGCAAGACTTGCAACACGTGCAGTATTTTTCAAATAACTTGACCGCAAAGCAAGATGTGAATCACTGCTTTCAAGAACAAGAGCAGCAGGCACAGCAAGCTTCAGTTATACAGCCGCCAGCGCTCCCGCCGTCACAATGCTATGGTGCTAGTCTGAACCAAGACCTCCCAAACAAACCAGCTCCACAGATTCCTCAGCAGTACTTACCACACAGCCAAACTGCCCCACACTCCCAAGACCAGAGAGGCTGTCATGTGCAGTCCCAGACCCCTAAGGATTTTCAAAAGCATGCTGCTCTAAGGTGGCATCTCTTACAAAAACAGGAGCAGCAAGCGTGCCAGCAACCCAAACCCGAGATTGGTCCCAGTGCAGCACGCAAACCTATCAAAACTGAGGCTGGCACAAAGTCTAATGTCTGCATGCGCCCATCAGCTGGACAGCTGGAAAACAAAATGTGGAAAAAAACAATTAAACAAGAGAACCAACACTTTGGCTGTGAGAACATGCAACAAAGGAGCATCATTGAGACAATGGAACAGCAGCTAAAACAGATACAGGTCAAATCACTGTTTGATCATAAGACTTTTACTATCAAATCACCCAAACATGTGAAGGTTGAAACAGCAGGCCCTATCACCATCCTATCAAGAAATACCAGTGCTGCAGATTTTGACGCTCAAACCCCAATCTTAGATCAGCAAGCAAACTTGTCTGCTGAGAAAACCCCGACCAAAAGAACAGCTGGAACTGTTCTCAATAATTTTTTAGACTCACCTTCCAAGTTACTGGATACTCCTGTAAAAAATTTATTGGACACACCTGCCAAAACCCAGTATGATTTCCCGTCTTGCAGCTGTGTTGGTAAGTGCTGAGATGTACTAAAAGCACACTAGTTCACAGGAAGGAAATGAGTCTTCAAGTTGGGATTGCAGGGTTAGTTGGATGTTTCTGTTGGAAAATATTTTGGGTGGGTTTTCTTTTAGAACAGTGATTAGTAAGGACTTATAAAACTGGATTTTATACACTTATGCCTACTCTACTTACCAGCCCTACACGTGGGCCCTTTCTCATTATTTCATAAAGAAATTACCTATTTGATTTTTCAGTCAGGATGCTTACAGCCTCACATCCATTCTCCTTGAGCAGCAGACATATAATGACAACCTACTGATAAAAAGTAGGTCATAACTTTATAACCTAATTTAATTGTCAAGCTTAGATACAGCATTTATAAAATATATTCTTGGTCCAAAACTTGAGATCCTTATGCACTGTGTCTCACAGATTATCCATGGGAACAAAAACAGAAGGTAGTGTATGTCTGAAGCTCCCAGAAAGAAAACTGGAAGCCAATTCTGTGCTGTTCCTTGTTGTTTTATAAAAAACAGCCTCCAAAATGTCATTTTTTTGAAAACACATTTGTTGTTTGGGGTTGGTGGGGGTTTTTTGAGATCATAGAAACAACCAGGTTGGGAAAGACCTCAAAGATTCATAGAGTCCAACCCTACTGTGCTTGCTAGACCATGGCACTAAGCGCCACATCCAGTCTCAGCTTGAAAACCTCCAGGGATGGTGAATCCACCACCTCCCTGGGCAGCACATTCCAATGCCTGAGCACTCTCTCTGTAAAAAATCTCTTCCTAATAGCCAACCTAACCCTCCCCTGGCAGAGCTTGAGTCTGTGCCCTCTTGTCCTGCTGCTGGTTGCCTGGGAGAAGAGACCAACCCCCACCTGACTCCAACCTCCTGTCAGGGAGTTGCAGAGGGTGATAAGGTCTCCCCTGAGCCTCCTCTTCTCCAGGCTGAACACCCCCAGCTCCCTCAGCCTCTCCTCATGGCACTTGTGCTCGAGTCCCT